GAGAGGAGGGAGGTGGAAGGGAGAGAACGGGGGAGGAGGGGTTCAGGGATGGGGATGGAACTGGCGCCTGCCTTGGGCGGTCCCACAACCTTGTGTGCAGGGCCTCAGCGGCCGAGGGGGCTAGGGAAAAAGCTGGAGAAGCCAGGATGAGATCGGGAGCGGATGCAGGGGAGTCTTTGGAAGCAGCGGGTGTGGGAGAGTGGCTGCTGGACCACTCAATCACAGTGACCATGTGGTTGGTGGCAGCGCTGTACGCCATGCACGTGCTCTGGGTCTCCTGGGAAAGCTCTCACCCAAGCCATGTGGAACATCTCCCGGTCAGCATGGCGCTCCTCCAGGTCCGTGTCCAACCTCCAGTCCTGCTGGTCCAGAGACCATAGGAGGGAACGGAGGCAGGCTATGTGCTCCCACTGGAAGTCCTCGTAGGGTCAGCAGCACCTGCAAGTCATGTGGCATTGGGAGGCTGGCATGAGAGATGTGGCTCGTGCCCCACTCACACCTGGTCCAGCTGTGAAGAAAAGCAAAAAGGGCAGTCATTCCAGGAGACAGTGAGCCCTCGGCTCTGAGCCAACACTGAAAGGTCTTGGGTCAGACAATGGTGATGTGCTTGGGGCAAGGCCATTTGAGGCCTGGACAGTGGGCACTTTAATGCAGGGGCACAGACAACCCAGGAGGGAGCCTCACTATCCCCACGTCCTGGGGACAAGCAGGCATGGGAAGGTGCAGGCAGGGGCTTCAGAGGTAGCTGCCAGCTCCATTGTAGACGTGTAGGGCTCAGAGGGAGCACAAGGGTCACTCATTGCGGCCTGGAAGTCTGAGCAGGCTGCTGGTGTATGGCACAGGGCTAGCAGGGCTTTCCTTGTGTCACAAGCCCTTTCCCCTGAGGCTGCATCTTTAAAGCCTGCAGAGAAAGGGATGAGTGTGGACAGAGTGGCTTCCAGGGCATCTGTGAGAATTGCTGGAGGCCAGTTACTTCAAAATAACCACAGCTGAGCTGTCTACACACACCCTATTTCAAAATAACTGTTTCAAAAGGGCGTTATTCCTTGTGAAATGAGGATTACAGAATTTGGAACAAACCCGCTATTTTGAAATTATTTCGAAATAACAGGCCTGCTGTGTAGATATTCACGTTGTTATTTCAGAATAATGTGCATTATTTTGAAATAATGCTGCTGTGTAGACATGCCCTTAGAGCAGTGGTCCCCAACCTTTTGCGGTTGTCGGGCGCCAGGGGGCGTGGCCGTTTGCCCGCCGGGCGCCAAGGGGCGGGGACACTTGCGCGCCCTGGGGCGGCCCCCCCCATAGCTGCATGCCCAGGGGCGGGGCCCCCCATAGCCC